AGTAATAGCCGGGAGAGTTCATAGACCTTTGGAGAACATACAAGAAATGGCAGGCCAAACCGGATTCGGCTCGTTGGCCGGGAAAGTCGGTCTGTATTCGAACATCGAAGAACTTTATCTGCTCGATCCTAGAGCTCTCCTTCCTTGTTTTGTGGTAATCTGCAAACCTTGAATAAACAAATTTCAAGTGCTTTTAACTTAGAATTTGTGAATTTGTGAATTTATGATGTTTATGTGAATCCTTTTCTTGAAAGAATTCTCATTCTTGTTAATTGTTAATATGGTCTGGTTTGTGCACCTCAGATTCATGTGCTTCTTTTTCTTGTTTAAGAAACTGTGATTGTAGATGAAAATGTCCAAATATTTGGATAAGAGATAAAGATATTCACATACATAAAGACAAATCCAGGATTCGAATAAAAGATAAAATATCTTATAAAATTCATGACACAATAATTTGACCATGATTAACCATTCAAACCAGTTGCATGATTGCTTGGAGAACAAGTTTAATTATTGTCATGTTGATTTCATTTCATAAAGTATAGTGATTTAAGAACATGGGACCCTTTAAACATGTTTTTGTGTTGTCTGGTAAGAAAAACAAATGAAAAAAATACTAATGGATGTGCTAACGTGTCCACTTGCTTGTGGTCCTTACCAACAAGAGACAAAAACCTAGGAAAACATTAGCATGGACACCTGTAATTCTGTCGTCTTCTTCATTTTTTTTTATCTCAAAACTGGTACAAAATAAACAACCCTTCTTTGTTTTCCCTCTCTTGAATTTCAAACTATTGGATTTCAAGGCACATGCATGTCATAAATGAATGTAAACCCCTCTCATTTCACCTGTCTGAATAAAACATAAATTCTAGAGTTTGAATTCCATTCAATTGTGTCTTAAATACTGGATTGGGGTCAGTTTGGGAGCAGATGAACTCAAATGAAAGATATTTATTTCCCTCCATTTTCAGAACTGGTTAAGACTCTTCGAGTGTGTTGTCACATTCCTGAGCCATTGTTGAAGTCATTCTTTTTATACTCGAACTCGGTTAAAAATCTCTAATATGGGTACGTATTCGAAAAATTTATGAATTTGAGGATCTTTAGAAGGTCATATCCTCGTACCCATCGGTGCCAATACTTTTGTTGACTGCAATGGCATGATTAGGCTCGGCTGAATAAAAATTTGCATACTCAGCCAACCCTAGGATGAAAATCGTGATTCTGAATGCCGATCAACCATCGATCGATCATGATTTTATGGTCGGTTTTGGTCACCAAGAGTAGGAGAGATCGTGTAAAGCTTTGTCGATGGTAAAAGGTGTCGGTCGGCGTAGGTTTAAGGGTTAAAATAAAAAGTTTTTAAAATTTTGGGCTTATTTCAAAATTTGTGTTTTCTTTTTTAATATACTTTTAAGTTTTTAATTTTAAATAAAAATTTTAAATTTACCACGGTGTTAACTGACCGTCACTGGTTAACTCATTTTTAGTAATGGAATAAAATATTAGGCACCAAACTGAAACAAAATAAATGTTAGAGACTAAACTCGAAAAAGAGGCATAGATTGGGCACCTTCTCTATAGTTAAGCCAAAAGAATAGTATGAAAAACCGGAGAAAGAAGTACCAACCTTCACTACAATGAGACGTGGATTCTCGCTTGGCTTGATCTGCAGGAAAACAAAAACGGTGAACTGAATAGCACATGAAGAACATTCATCAATCTTACATAGCACAATGCATAGCCCATCAACAGTTAACCAAAACACTAAACAAATCATCAATTAAAACATAGAAAATGGAATAACTTCGTAAATTGTATTGCTTTTATTTTATATGTCAAAAGTTTGGTCCCTTTTAACACACACACACAAAAGCAGTTGCTTTAGACTTGGCCAACAAAATTACAAGGAGAAAACTACAAAAGGAGTGAAATTTATGAAACACCCATTTCCATATAATCTCCAAAGAGCTGAAAATGTAAAGATTAGAGCAAAATAATTGATGGAAGAATTTAATTTACGTGCAGTGTTTTGAAAACATGATCGGATCGACCGGTTCAATCGGAAACTACTGTCTAGTCCGGTTCAATTTATACCGGTTGAACCGTTACTAGTGAACCGGTCGGAACCATTGAACCGTTCGAACCGGATCAGCTGAAAACCGGAAAAAACCGCCAATTTTGTTTTTTTTTAATTAAACCAAACGACGTCGTTTGTTAAACGAGCCAAGTCGAACTCGAGTATTGCTGAGCTCGACTCGAACTTGAAAACTTTAAAAGTAAGTTCAACTCAAATTCACGAGCTAAAAATTATCAAGTTCAACTCGAACTCGAAATATAATATTGAAACTTGAACTCGAAAAGGCTTGAACTCAAAAAAAAATTAGAAGTTCGATTGAAGTCTAAAATTCGAGTTTGATTGAAGTGAAAGAATAGTTCACTCAATGCTCACCAAAAGGCTCCATGATTTTGAATGTCAAATTACCTCTTATAGAAGTTAGTTGGGATGTTATTCTATGTTTCTTAGCAATGTGGGATTGTTTTGTTCTCATATTTTTACTCTTTAGACTTTTGGGATGTTCTTCTATGTTTCCTAGCCATGTGGGATTGTTTTAAAAAAAAATAAACCAAACAATATCATTTTTTTATGATTTTTTAACCCCAAATTTATTTTTTAATTATAGTTATATAATTATATTTATTATTTAATATGTTTTACCTTAAATATTATGTTGTAGTTAATTTGAATAATTTTGTTTCACTTGATTTTATGGTTTTTAACTTATATATGTTATGACTTGCTTTGAATATAACTTGTGATATTAAAAATTATTTTTTATTAAATATTTTTGATATTTTTATTTAATTTTTTAAATAATTATGACGTCGTTCGGTTCTTTCGATTGGTCGGATTGATCGGTTCGACCGATTGAACAAGTGAACCGGTAATATGGCCGGTTCACTAATCGGTCCGATTCTGAAAACCATGTTTACGTGGAGAGTGGGGAGAGGAGGAGGAATTGACAGAAGCTGGCCCAAAAAGGAGTTTGAGGACGGAGAAAGACCGGCCATCGAGCTTTGCAACGCAGCCATGGCTGCCATTTTCGCCTTCTTCAACGGTTCTGTAAATTGATTGTCGACAGCTACTGTTTTGATGATGACGACAAACATGGTGTGTATGTGGAAATTGTGGATGATAAAAGATAGATGATAATGGAAACGACGGAGTTTTGGACTAAAGTTTTGGTAAAAAAAATATTATGGGCTTTGGGCTTAATAGTTGAATCAAACTAAATTCATTATTAAAATTCATCTCAAAATTATATATAAAATTATACATTTTATCGATGAAACACGAATCGAGTTATTTCAGTGATTATTGATTAAAGATGTGATTGTTATCTTTAAAAATTTTAGGTTCGAACATCAATGAGTACATGATATTTGAGCATTCATTATCAAATGATTGAGATTCTTTAAAACATATACTATCACTTGTAAACTCATATATATATATATATATATAGAGAGAGAGAGAGGTCAAGATCTACTTACACAATGTAAAACTTTTTAGTTTTACACAGATTTAGGATCGTTTGATGAGTTAAAAAAATGACTCAAATTAACAATAGGGTATATGAAGATATTCACTTAGAAAAAAAATAATGAGTCAATCTGAGTCATCTATTTTCACTCATCCAATAGTCTTAAATCTGTGTAAAATTAAAAAGTTTTATATTGGATCTTAAATATATCTATATATATATATATTGAAAATGATTACAAATAAATATTAATTAAAGGACCGATTAAAAAGAATTTACATTATTTTATAGAGAAAATAACCTCAGTGACCGAAAATGTCTTATAATATACGATTTTGACCAATTTTTTTTCGATTTGCCAAAATGACCAACAAAATCGCAATGCGATATCTAAATCGCAACGCGATCTCCAGTATCGCAAATCAGTTTTCAGATTCGCAACGCGATTTTGACTATCGCATTGCGATTTTCCAAATTTGCGTTGCGATTTTAGAAAATCGCAATGCGAATATGTAAATCGCAACGCGATTATGACTATCGCAACGCGATAATACAAAATCGCAACGCGATTTTCTAAAATCGCAACGACTGGTGGTATTGCATTTGTTTCTTAAGAATTTTCTCTAAAAAAAATAGTATCTGCGCGGACGTGTCGAAGACACGACCACGACCCGAGACTAGACGGGACGGCGGCGGCGGTGCGCGAGAGTCCCCCTTGTTCTCTTCCACTCAACAAGGAAGTGGGAAATCCAAGCCTTAAATACTCATTCTCAATAGTGTTTCCAATACTATGTGGGATTGAGTATTGCAAACACTTGGGAATATTTTACACTATCGCAACACATTCTTTATTGTTTCAAACTAAGATCTTACAAATGGCTTCGGAATCTTTTACACTATCGCAACACATTATTTATTGTTTCAAACTCCATGTGAATTTGGAATAGTTAAAATGTAAACTTATTTTGGATTTTTCACTATCGCAACAACACGTTTTTCAAACTCTCGCAACACATTTTAACTATCGCAACACATTTTAACTATCGCGTTGCGAATCTTACAATCGCGTTGCGAATTTGGAAACTGAGTTGAAAAATTAGAGTTCGCGTTGCGATTTTGTTAGTCATTTTGACAAATCCAAAAAAAAATTGATTAAAATCGTATATTATAAGGTATTTTCGGTCACTGAGGTTATTTTCTCTATTTTATATTGTAAGATGATAGTATAATAATATAATAACTCAATATTTTTACTTTAACATAATACACTAATTAGTTCTTTTTTAGCGACAAATAAAATATACGTATCAACTTTAGATAAATTTAATTATTTTTTACACAATATATAAACATAAAATGAAGTTAAATTTCAGTGATTAGTAAAATCCAAAGTAAATTAAAGGTTTATATATACCGGAATTCATGTATAATTTTGAGATTTAACTTTGATTATCTATGCTTTCATTACTAAAGGGTTTAATATACAAAATTAGATCAGCAAATCAAAGGAGTAAAATCTAATTATGTTACAACAAATTATAAACAATCCTTTTTCCCTAAGAAAACTCACTCAAACGAGAATTCAAATACTACAAGCATGCCCTCCACATCTGAACATGTACCACACAAGACAGAGACCAAATCCAACGTACTTTTTTAACGAATGGAAGAATCACTGGGTTGCAATTCAAAGGTGTCGGCTGCACTGTCCATGGACTCCTCTCTCCGGTGTTCGATTATCTGATTCTTAGTTTCTCCTTGCTCTAAGTCGACTGAAGCCTCATCTGCAATTGCGGATTGAGACTTCTGGTGTTTCTTGTTGTGTCTTGTCTTAAGGATCCGCGTTAGCACTTGCGCGATGTCCCTCATGGAAGGTCGTTTCTTCGGAACGCGGTTCACGCATTTATACGCGAGGGCTGCTATTTCGTTGAGCTCTTGCGCGTCGAATTTCCCGTCCAATCGTGAATCCATGATTTCCTCCCACCCGACTTTCCCTTCGGTACTCATAGCTGCCTGTTGGTCACATCACTATTATGTTCCATGGATATGAACTCAATTCTTGAAAGAGAATGTGCAAGAGAGATCTTACTAGCTCAACATATTCCATGAGACCCTGTAAAGGATTTCTTCCTGCTATGAGTTCAAACAGCAATACCCCGTAGCTGTAAACATCGCTTTTTTTAGTAAAGGTCCTCGTAGATATATACTCCGGGTCGAGATATCCAAACGTTCCTCGTATGTTAGCTGCATGTTTGTCTACCATCTCTTCTCTCGAAAGCCCGAAATCAGCTACCTGCTTAAGATCGAATCTTAATAGAATCTCATGCTTGTGTTTTGACAATCTATAATTAACAATCTGCAAGAACATACCCTGCCTCTCATGGACTGATCCAAAAGAATGTTGGAAGACTTAATGTCCCGGTGTATTATAGGAGGAGATGCCTGGAACCGAAGTATGAACAAATTCAGAAATGTTTTCCAAAAACACAAAATGCATGCACGAGAATCAACAGATACATGCCTGCAAACGCAGAGGGGTTAAAGTATGGTCCGGATAAGTAGAAATATTACCCCGTCATGAAGATATTCCATGCCCCTCGCTACATCTAAAGCAACATAAACCCTCAAATTCCAGCTCAGAGGTTCATGATTTTCACCTGCACAAAGAGGAAATGTTGTTTTTAACAGAATCCAGTGTATGTGTATATTTTCAATTAGCAGGCACTACAAAGTTCCTCCTAAACCCTAATCTATTGATGGTTTATAGTAATTCGATGCTAATTATGATCCAAATCATACTTATATAGACTTATTTTCACCATAACAGTTGATTTTCACAATTCAAGTATGTTTAACTGTTGTGTTGATGTTGTTCCTCATATAGTCGGTGCTGGATTTCCTGGGGTCTTATATTCAAGTTGGACCTCTCCACCAATTAACAGTCGGTTTTATGTTGGATGCCTAACATGTATGAAGAAAATATTGAACGCCAAACATTCAGAAAAGCTTTGTTTCGAAGAAAGTGGTAACGTATAGAAGAGCGAGACCGGCTGATATACAAGTCGATAGTGCAGTTTTCAGTCCTAGCCTTTCAAAATTACACTAATCTTTCTACGGAGAGAGTTGACAGCATACTTACTGTACAAATGCGAAGCCAAGCTGCCTTTACTCATGTACACATAGACAAGCATATTCTGACCCTTTTCTGCACAATATCCGACCAAATTTACAAGGTTTCTGTGATGCAGTCTTCCCAACAACATAACCTGAAATGTTACGACGATGAAACATTAAACAAGCAGGAGAGAGCACGAAGGAGCAACAAAAAGCAAACTACTAAACATCCCTACCTCAGTCTGGAACTCTTTCTCCCCTTGCTTAGAATCAGTTGCAAGCACTTTCACTGCAACAGTCTCACCGGTTGACATCTGAGCTTTATACACCTGACCGAAGGCTCCTTGTCCTATTAGTGTTGTAAAATTGTAAGTTGCTTTTTGCAAATCCCTGTATCGGTAACAACATCGACAAATTAACAAACTAGGAAATAAACTCATTCATGTCTCAAACCACCCAACTATCCTACTAGTTTGCTATAGCATGAATGAAAGTATTAAGGGCTGAAACACATTCTTAAGTTTGGGACATTAGCTCGATTTTAGGGATAGAAGTTGCCTGATACTGAAAAACTATAGCATCGCAAGAAATCGAGTTAGTTTCTCATCAAGAATGCTCACTTTTACCGAAAACAACACAACTTGACAGATACCAAAACTGGAATACTTTGAAAATCTCCATCAAGCTATCTATCCATCCTGGGGCACAACATGAAAAACCTAAGCAAAGTTTAAGATTTGACCACGAAAACAACTTCCCAGAGCCGTTAAATCATTTATCATATAAAATGCATAACAAAACAATCCAATTACTAACACATTTTCTTCACACATAATCACATATACATAAAATTAAAGAATACTTTGTTAAAATCAATACAACTCAAAACCAACTACCACGATGCATAGAAACGTACTTGTATGAATACTCGGGTATTCCGGACATAGAGACAACATTGCTTTTTCTAAGCCCGTCAAGCCACACAGACATTCCATTTCTTCCAGATTTCACAGGTGAGTAGGGGCCGGTAGTTGAATCGGATAACATAGTACAAGAATCGGCTCCACTAGCTCTGATAGGGATAGTTGCAGCTCTTCTAGAACTGCTGTTTCCTATCTGGGACCTCTTTCTATGATACCTGATGCAAAACAATGCAAAAATAGCTAAAAGCACACCAATCACCACTCCTATAGAAATCCCAATGATCAAACCAGAGGACTCCCCTCTCATTTCTACTCTTTTGTTTTTTGCTATTCAAGCCTCCCGTCCATTGAAACAACTGCAAATACAATTCTGGGTCATATCAAGCCAATTCTAAACTATCAAAACATTGACAATAGAGAAAAGGAAAATTAAAAAATCTGTAGTGCAATTCAGGGTCAAATAAGGCTAATTTAACTAAAACTAGAAGGTCAAGTTTAAAACTTTCATGACTTTTTTCACTGCAAAAGGGATAAAAGTCAAAACTGATATACATGACAAAAAGAACAACTTTCTGACTGGTCTTATACCAAAACTGCTCGAATTCACATGACCGCACAAGGAAACAAATAGGAAAGACCCCCAGAAACATAATTCAGTAAAAAGGGAAACCAATAAATTCCCCAAAGCTTGTGATCTGAAAAATATACTTGATCTGATTAGCATTGGTCAAAAACCTATAATTTACTATGAATCAAAAACTGAAACTTTCTTCTGATTATGATTAAAAAAACAAGAATTACATATGCTGATCTGTATGATTACTAAGAACAAAAAATTTAGAGTTATTGAACTCCAAAAAGAGTTCCAGGAAAGCAAAGAGCTTTTAAGCGAACCTATTAGTTTCTTTTACTTCAGTTTCCAAATTCTCTTCCCTAAGCTTTCTCACCAACCAAACAGAGTGCAGAGCAAGAAAGGAAGGGAATAAAAAACACCCAGAAGCAGAAAACTTTTAACCCATGAAAACATGACAACAAGGCCAGAAATAAATAACAAAAAAACCCAGAATTTCTTTTCCATAAAGTAAATGCACTGCTGAAGAAATAAACCAAAAATAAATAAAACTGACTTTGAAGGGTACCTCTTTCAAAATACATTTCTTCAGTTACATTATCTCATTGGAGCAAGGAGAAAGAAAAGAGAAAACAGCTGTGGAAAATGATGAGATAGCAAAATTCTTTGAGTGGGATTTTACAGGGAGAAGGAATCTGAGAGTTGAGAACCGAGAAAAAGGAGAAATGTTTGTGAAAGTTTGAAATGAAAGGAAATGAAAATCTGGAGTTATCGTTTCCAGTGTATTTAGAGGGAAATGCTTTCTCTATTAACTACATTAAAAATGGAATACGTGACTCGCCGTTTGTATAATAAAGGCGCGACTACTGTGAAAGAAAAATATCTTCTATATATAATCTTTCAATTTTAAATTAAAAACTGTATCTATGTGTTTAAATTTATTTTTTAGCTTAATGCCTAAATAAGTTGTCCAAATTATATCATTTGTATTAAATAAGTGACTATATTTTTTTTACTCATCCGGTACCTAACGTTATAAGCTTTTGCATTTGAAGTACCCGGTTGTCAACGGCGTTAGTTTTTTTTCATTAAGTGACACGTGTCACAACTTGTTTATTTTAAATTTTTTATATAAAATTAAAAAAAATTATATATATTTTTAAATAGAAAACACAAATTTTGAAATAACCCCTAAACTTTGAAAATATTCATTTCAACCCCTAAACTCACGTCGACCGCTGCCTTTTACCGTCGAAGAAGCTCCACCCGACATCACTTCCCCCGAAAACCAAAAACCCTATGAAATCATGATCGGTTGAAAAGCGATTGACAATAAATTGGCGTTTTAAATCCCGTGAACCCTAAGATGAAAATCGTAATCCCACGTGATTCCAATGGTGAATCGGCAACAACTACGGCGACATATAACTAGATGATGGTAAAGACTACGTCGACGGCGGTGGTCATGGTTGGAGAGGGCGGGGACGACGAACTAAGGTTAAGATTTGAGATTTTGAGACTGTTTTATAATATAAGAAAACTTAGGGTTTTTTTATAAATATAATAGTATTTTTTAAAAAAATAAATTTTAAAATTATCAGGTTGTAACACGTGTCATTTAACGGGAAAAACTAACGCCGTTGACTGCCCGGGCACCTAAAGTACTAACGTTTGCAATGTTAGGCACCCGGATGGGTAAAAAAAATGTAGCCACTTATTTTGCACAAAAATATAGTTTGAGCACTTATTTGGGCATTAAGCCTTATTTAAAAAAAATATTTATTAAATTAACATTTAGGATAATTACATAGGATGTGCTCAGATTATGTTTATTCTAAATTAGTCCTTAAATTTTAAAATATTATATATATCAATCTATAAATTATGACTCATTTTAAATTGGTCCAAAAAATTTAAATATTCTATATCAATATCCAAACTATCGAAATTCTATTTTGGTCATTTTGTTATTGATACATTAACTCTATTTGTTAAAAACATTAATATGTTTTTTATAATAAAAAAATTGAACTCGTGACTTTTTAAAATGTTATTAGAACCTTCAAAAATAAATTAAATTTCTTTTAGGATATCAAGATTTCAATTCTTGGACATTCAAAAACATATTAATTTATTAAGAATGTCTAAAAAAGTAGTGGAGTTAATGTCATATTAATAGAAGGACTAAAATATTATGATATTAATAGTTTGATAATTGTTATAAAATACAATAAAATTTAAGGATTAGTTTAGAATAATGATCATAATTTAAGGATTAATTGTTATAAAATATATATTTTGGTACCTTAACTTAGTTTCAAGATATAACTTGACATCTAAATATTTTTTTTTTGGCTAATTAGATATATGAACTTGGTTTTAAGGTTTAGTCTGATAGTTAAAGCTATTTTCTGTTCCAATTAAGTACATGAATTTTTCATTTAGGTTCAATTTGGTACATAAATCTTGATTCCATGATTTAAATTATTTTAATTAAATCATTTATTGTGAACACTAATTTAGACAACAATTTGAAGTTTGAATACTAATTTGAACCAATAAATTAAGTTAAGATACTAAATTAGACTAAAAAAATTAAATACTAGATTGAACCCTAAAGACTAGTTTAAACACCTAATTAGATAAGAGAACAAGTACTACTATATTACACATTAAAACTAAATTCATATACTAAAATATGTATTTATTTATTATTAAAAGTAAAAATAATAACTTGTTACTCCATATTTTTATCTTTAAAAATATAAAAATAATAACCTATTAGAATGGATCAATGTATTGTATTTGAAAAAACAAATTATAAATTTTAATAGATACATTGTTGTCATATGTCAATAACGATTGTTATCTTCAGAAATCTCGGATTTATGCATCAACGATTACAAGATATTTAAGTATTTATTGTCAAATAGTTGAGAGTCTTTAAACGGATATTATCAGTGACGAATCTATAAAAAAATTTTAGGGTGGATACATATATGTTAATAATAATAGATAATTTTTGTGTGAGATAGATATAAACAAAATTTTAAGGTGAATAACATCAACGAAATGAATAATTATCATAAAAAAAATTCTGATTTTAGGTTGGGCTCGTGCCCACTCTGAGTTCTTCTTACATCTACCACTGAATACTACAATTTGTAATTATCCTAGATTAATAAAAATAATATTTTAATGTATTAGCTCATTTTACTAAGATCTGGATGGAAAAACCAGGTGTACGACTCGAGTCGGTCCAGATTAGTCAAGGCGAAGCCTTAGGAACCGGAAGGAAAAAAAAGATACCCATAAAGTTGAGGCATATATTGGTGAGTTGGTCCAAAGGTGCAGCGGCAATTTTAGGTGTGACCTTAGTGTGGAATTGAAGTTTGGTAACTCATTAGGCAAGCATCAAGTTTAAGTCACCTTTAAGTGGATTAATTTTGGCTAATTTTCAATTTAAGTGGATTAAAATTGGTTTGTAGAAAAAATTTCGCCCACTTTATAACTAGCAAATTTAATTAATTGTTATCGGTAAAGATTTAAGAATCAATCATTAATCCCTTTTGTCTCTCTATAATCTTTCATTTTTCCATTTTGCTTCGTTCAATTCTTTTAAGTTTTATTTTGCATGTCTGACTTTTTATTTTGTTTATTTTATAAATCTTTACATTTTTATAAAATAGTAAATACTTTTGTCTATTCTTATATCATTTTTTTCATGATTGAATTTATTGTCATCATTTTATTTAGTCGATTGTTATCTGGTTATCTTGATGATCTACTCATACTTTGAATCATTGAACTGGTTCTCTCATATCGATAGTTACTCGTAATCACCTCAAACATGTGTTTTAATTGTGATAAAGTCAATTATCATCATGTTGTCATGTTCTATTATTATATTAGTGTCGATGGTGTTTATTTTTCGTGCCGACAATGATATTTGTTTATATCTTTTTTTTTGAGTTGTGTGATTATTTTATACCCTTCTTTTTGTATTATCAAATTTTATTTTTCAGTGATTAGTTTTGCTTTTAGATGCTTTTAGAAGAATAATTAATTAATATGACTAGTGTACTTTTGATTATGTAGATTATTCTTTTTTAATATTATTCTTTTTATTTGATTTTTTCTTTATTTATTCAATAAAATAAGCTAATGTTATAATTTCAGGAAGAAAAAATTCTCCCTTTCTATAAGACATACTTAAGTATTTAATTACATCGCACGAACCAAATTACCTTAATGATTAAAAAGATGATTGTTATTCCTACATGTCTCGGGTTAAAGCACAACGCATATTAGAGGTGTTTGAGTGTTGTTGTCAAATGGGATGAAAGCCTTTCGAATATGCACTACGTTATAATCACCTTTAGATTAATAAAAAAAGTATTTAATTTCACCGAAAGAGATTCTTTTTTGTTTTAATAATATAAGTTGATTACAAGTGGTAATATATGTTTTAAAGACTCTCAACCATTTGACAATTAACACTCAAATATCCCGCAGTAGTTGGTGCTCGAACCCGAAAGATAACAATCATTCATTTAATCACTGAGGTAGTTTGATTGGTACGTACGATTTATAGAAAGGGAGAAAAAAATTATATGAAACCAATATTAAGATTTATTGTTGCTAAAAATTAAAATGATGTCTTTCACTAGTATGTCATATGCTTAATCCACACCAAATGGGGACATATGTCTACCTTATTTCTTGTAAAAGAGCATATAATTATAAAATTTTAATTTTAAACTTCAACAATTATTCTTTTGTTCAAATATACATTTTGGTACAAGAGTTTTTATCTATTTTTATTTTGTCTATTAGTTTTCTAAACTTTATTTGTTGGTTCAAATTAATGGTTAAACTTGATTTTTCTTTTTAAATTTTTTACACCAAATTTATCATTCCGACTATGATCATATTGATGCCAGCATACATCTTTGATTTATACAAATATTTACATGCAATAAAACGACATATAAGTTTAATAAATTACTTTCTAATCAAGAATTTAATCATAATTATAAGGAAAAATGAACTTTTACTTATCCATATTTAGTTGCACTCAATCTTTGAATTTTTTTTGATGAAATTAGTTTAACTAAACCTTGTATAGTATTTACATCATAAACAAAAAGAAGTGGTTGTCCATTTTTAAGAGACTTATCCGTATATATAGGAGGCAGTGGGTAACTGTTAACCTAAGTCACCTAATCCGATAGGAAAGATTAAAATCCATATATATATATATATATACACACACCTTCAACTTAGATAGTTTATTCATATGAACGACCTCAATAATTAAAGGAATCGTTATTATTGTTAGAGGTTACGAGTTCGAGCACCAGCGGTTGCAGTAGGGTAATTTAGCATTTATTGTAAAATGGTTGAGAGTATTTAGAACATATATTACTTTGTAATCACCTTAGCTTAATAAAAAATCAATTACCTATAAATATTAAATATGATAAAAATTTAAGATATAATAAATAAAATAAATACAGAAAATTTACACATAATAAAATTTAAACTTTAAAATTGTTTTTATTCTATATTAATAATACAATAAAAGTATTTTTTTAAAAATGGAATAATTATTATTTTTAATAACAATCTACATTATCAATAATAAATATGTGGACCCACATCTTACCCTTAATGAAAAAGACTCGAATTATAGTCAATTAAAAAAGGATTATTTCAAGGATAATAATAAT